CAGGTTCGCCCGGGTTCTTAGCTGAAAGAACCGCTTTAAGGACTGGGCACTGGGTGAGTGAAGTCTTCTTCAAAATTTTATCCCCTCTTCCTCGGAGGCAGGAAACGCGACAAGGGCTGTCTTTTCTGATTTTAAAAATAGAAATACGTTTTATAACGAAAAAGAAAAAAAATTAATGCCAAAGCCTTTTGTATCATGTTAAAGTTTAGAGGTGACCATGTAGGATTCTTTTTCCTGATGAGCCTGGCTTACTAAGTTTAGTATTTTTAAAAACTCATTACAGTCGTGTGTATTTTCACATGAAAACTGAGATTAAATTAAATTGTGGAACCATCCACAGTGCTGTACAAAATAGGAAACACCTCGCTCCCGCCCTTACAACACATAGCATTGTGCCAATTATTAAAGTTGGCGGTCTCCTTTATAGCAAGGGGAATATTGTGTATGTATTTTCTTCCCTTGGATTTTTAACTCTTGGAGAGCAGAACGAGTTCTTACCTTCGTATCACTTACTCACTTAACACACATGTATAGAAGTAAATGAAGGAACTAACTGTACGGTTAGTTCTCTGCCCACGGGATCTTGCTGGGGCTGTCGGGTAAAGCTGAGACCCTATGAGTGGGTACGTTTCCCTGTAACAGGAGGCTTGCCTGGCTCCCACCTTCTAACAAGAAGACACGTGAAAAGGGAGCGCAGAGCTGGGAACCACTGAATCTCTTGAGTCTCACCCTCTTGGGCTTTGGACCTGATGGGGTTAGATGTCCTCGGGAAGAGGGTGGCTGCTAGACAGTCTACGCAGAGTACAGGATGACAGGGCCCAGTAAGTGGAGAGTGAATTAGCCACACCGTAGAGCACAGGAGTTCCATATTAACCCACCTGTATCTTGTGAAGACCTGGCCCATTCTTTTCTAGACTTTGGAGTATTCTGGGTGGACTGCTCTGTCCTCTTCCCCACCGCTGTGCCAGGGTGTTACTGAGTGAAGCAGCACGGTGCAGGCCAGCTGGACTGACAACAGCATAGTCACTACAATCACTAATGAACTACTCCTGGGGAACAGTAAATCTTGCCTCTTCCCAGAGGAGATGCCCCCCTCCAATGACAATCTTGGAACATCTTGTTTTAATTTTATTTAGGAATCTTCTAATAATGCATTATGTACAAGACCTAGAACAAGGGGAGCTCCTTGTTCACAAACCCCTTTTAAACTGGTTTATGTTTTTATCATGGAAAAAAGCATGAACCCCAGATATCTTCTGCAAATATACATGGAATTTACATTTTGGTCAGAACTAGAAAAGAAGTAATTGTGATTTGTTTTTTCCATCTACTGCTTATCTAGATGACCTTTTTCTTACTAAGGGACAAAATGGTATTTTTAAATTCCTTAAGTAAAGCCATTGTGAAGGCAATTATGCTAAAACCCTAAAACTGCCTTATGAAATTAAATTCATAAGTTTTATTAATTCAGTATTTGAAACTAAGCCTGTCGGTTCTTTCCACTAGAATAAACATGTTTCCTCCATCCTCACTTAACTAATGTTTTCTTATTCTGCTTACGTCAAGGCTATTTCAAGTTTGTTTTTAATTGTCAAAACTTAGTATTTCTATTTAGGGGAGCAGAATTTGCCACCTCATTATGCCTCTTTGACATAAAGACTATTTTAAACTGGTTATTTTTAAGAAATTGCAGATGAGATGCTCTGACAAATACCCATTTTGTAAAGATATTTACATATGAGGGAAATCACCCTTGCTGTTCTAGGAAGAGGGATGGCCAAATCTCTAGAAACTCTTATCAATGCATAACAACCATCCTCTTGTTTAGTGTGCTTTTTCCGGATATCTGCCCAAACTGACTGACCCCCACCCCATCTCCACATCTTCTTTTCTTCCTTAGTTGAAAATGGTATTTAAGGTGAGCACTTGTACCAATTAGGGAAATAACTGGGCCTTTCCCATGTGTATGTGTTAATAAACTTTTATTTGTTTTCCTCCTGTTAATCTGTCTTGTGTCGATTAAATTATTAAGATAACCAAAAAACCTAGAAGGGAAAAAGGAAAAATTTTCCTGCCCTATGCTTATTAAGAATACTCTTTCATTTCTAAAAGGGTGATCAAATTTGCTTACCCTTCAGTTGTCTACTCATATCATTAAACATTTATATCTTTAAAAACAGAGACAGAAAATGTGCAGATCTTACAACCCAGCAATTCTACTCTTCGGCATAAACTCAAGAATTGTATTGTCTAATATGGTAGCCACTAGCCACATGTGTCCACTGAGCCCACATAATGTGTCTAGACTGTAATTAAATATGTGGCAAGCGTAAAATACACAGTAAATTTTGAAGACTTAGTATGAAAAAAATTTAATATCTCATTTAAATTTATGTTAAAATATTATATGTTGAAGTGATAATACTTGGATCTGTTGTTTTAAATATTATTTTTAAAAATTTAATTAAAAAATGAAAGGATTAATAACATTTGTTACTAGTGTTACCAAGCTGAGCTCAGGTCCTCTCACTCACCTCACAGCAAAGCCAATCTACTGACACTAGGTTGTGGTGAAGTACAGCATTTATTTGCAGGGTCCCAAGCAAGGAGAACAGGCAGCTTGTACTCAAAAGATTTGAACTCCCTGATGGCTTTCAGGGAAGGGTTTGTTTGTTTTGTTTGTTTGTTTGTTTGTTTGGAGGTGGGAGGGGTACTTAGATTTATTTATGTAGTAGAAGTACCAGGGATTGAACCCAGGACCTCATGCATACTAGGCATGCCCTATACAACTGAGCTATACCCTCCCCCATGGAAAGGTTTTTAAAGGCAACATTTGAGGTGAAGGTGGCAGCTTGCCAACTGCCTTCTGATTCGTTGGTGGTGTTGTTTCAAGATAAGTCTTAATCTTCAACCTTCTGGTTTCAATCAGTCTGGGGTCTGCGTGCTTGTGCTCAGCCTGTAGGCACCATCCTCCACCTGGGTAGGGGTCTTAGTTTCTGCAGAACAGCTCAGATTGTTATGTATAGCTCTTGAGGAGATACTAGGACTCTATTTATTGCTGAACTATGTTTCTTGAAAACCACGTTTCCTGTTTCTACTTTCCCTCACCTTCCTAACTGGTAACTGTGTCCTTATTTCCTCTTCTTACAAGGACACTAGCATGTTGGATTAGGCCCCACCCTAATGACCTCATTTAACTTAATTACTATTAAAAAGTCTGTGTCTCCAAATGCAGTCCCATTCTGAGGCACTAGGGGTTAGGACCTCAACACGTGGGTTTTAGAGGAACGCAATTCAGCCCGTAACAGTAGGTGAGACTCTACTTGGAGAAACAACACCAGAAAGGAACAACTTTGTATGCAAGGTATGCAGGATGTATTTTTTTAAGAACGGGAGAGTAATTTTATCCTAAGGGTTAATGACTGGTTGTTTCAGGATGAGAAAGAGAAAAGTAGAAAAAACCAGAAGGGATGCAGAAAGTTGTAAAAGGTTCTCAGAGAGGGACTTTTGTTTGTCATTGTCAAGCTGGCTAAGGTTTGATGGCTTCATTTATAAGAATTGTTTTTAAGCTTTAGTATCAAATATTATACTGATGCAAAACCAGAACTTGGTGTTCTCACTGTTAAAATGACAAAATTTTCTTATGGTCTGTTCTTAATAAGAGGTTGTAAAACAGTATTAGTACTGAGTAATATGCCTAGAAGGCATTTGTATTTTATCATGATAACTTCCTGTGCCTTGTGTTGACTTTATCATGTTCTTCATTGTTTAAGAGAAAAACAAAGTTCTCTCACTTTTGAAAGAGCTATGATTCTTTACAAACATGTTACCTCCTATGTTTACTCTTAAAATCTTCTATTACCACTGTAGGCATATAGGGTAGGGGTTCCCTGGAGGAAGAGAACCTGACATAGCTTTCTTAACATAAGAGAAGCCATCTTAGGCCTAAGCCGTTTTGTGACCTAGTCTGGCCACATTGATTGCCCTTGCAGAAGAATAGGTCTCAGAACAAACAGCTATTAGCAGGCCAGGGAGATAACCATATCGAAGACAACGTATCAGTTGTAAAGACTCCCAGTTCCTTTCTGAAGGTGAAGATTAGCATTGTTGAGCTGCATGCAGGATCCAAACCCTGTAGAGCACTCAATCACCAGATGAACTGGAACCTAAGGAATGATGACACTGAGCTTTGCTGACCCTTGTAGACTTCAGTCTGCTGAAGCCTGGATGCTGTCAATCTTTGCCCCAGTTCTGAGCAGAATTCTCCTCTGTTCAAGCCCCTCATGAATATGCATACATCCTTAGCTTGAA